TTTTCTTAATCCCTGTCTACACTACCATATTTTCATATCCACACTTCCTGTTTATTTTGTCATTTTATTATTTCTACATATTTAATCCCTGATTGCATAAAATAGAAATTATGTATTAATATGAATAGTTTGATGATTGAGTTTTACTCAGGATGCACATAGGAACAAAGTAGAGAATACGAAATTACGTAACAGTTCTAAATGAATCGAAGAATTATAAGCAATTAAAGAAACTGGCAAACAAAGAAAATTAGGTCATCAAAAATCAACAAAGTTGTTACCGTGATAGCAGAAGTGGTTGAGTAATTCTGTTCTGTATGCATAGCTCTGGTTTTTCTATGTGAATGGGCAGAGCTTCAGCGGTACAAAGAAGGCGAAACCGTATTGCGTTTGATAGGTTGTTCTTGACTCTGTAGATTACTTTGAAGGAGGCGTTTGTTTAAATTGAATGATCAGTGTTAACCAGGTGTTCAATTATCGCAGTCCTTATTGCACCACTATTGCCTTTTCGCAACCATGCTGGATAGTGTTCTTGAATCTCCTTGGACAGGGTGCGCGTCGAGCGATCGATGTATCTGGCTCCACAGCAGCAGGTGAACTGATATATGCACATAGAAGTGGTCAGATGCGGGGATCTTGTCCTTGAGGCTTCTGCAGATCAGTGGGCGACTGGAGAACACTATTCTTAGCGTTGTTGCAAAGAATGTTCTTCTCAGAGATGATATGATCCCTCTCTTGAGAATATCGCTTGCTAAATCTCCCTTGAAAGCCAGGTTCATGTAGAGTTTCTTTTTTGGCGCAAGTAGAGTTTCGTTTCTCCGAATTCTTGGTTTGATATTTTTCTCGATGAATCTCATTGGGTATCCATTTTGGATGAAAATTTCTCTTAGAATATCCAATTCTGTTTCCAGAGTGTCGGGACTGCAGATGCGTCGGATGCGGGTAGCAAGTGATTTAATTAAACTTCGCTTTTGTTGAATGGGTACCCAGCTATAGAAGCTTGTTAGTTGACCATTCCAAGTAGGTTTTCTATGGATTGATCTTCTTAGACTCCCATCAGTTCTTCTTGTTAGTTCCACATCAAGAAACGGGATTTTTGATTCGTTTTCCATTTCAAGAGTGAATTTTGTTGCTGGATGACAACAGTTAAATGTCTTCAGTAGTAGATTGGGGTCATTGTTGTTGTCACAAATAATGAATATGTCGTCTACGCATTTTTTATACAGTCGCAAATTGTCGATGCTTGGCTTTAGTGGACTTTTCTCGAGGCTTACGACGAAGCAATCTGATAGTAGTGGACCCAACGGAGATCCCATTGCAATACCATCATCTTTTTGTCCATAGATGGTGTCGTTGATTGTGAACTGGACGTTCAGAGTGCATCTCAATATTTGTATTATATTAGCATCAGCTGGTACATCATGACTCCCTGGCTGAGGTCTGATAGTTCAAATCTGTGGCTCAAGACGTTTTCAGGTGTCGCTAAGAATTGCAATCAATGGTGAACAAGCTGTAATTTCTTTTTTCTTCTTTTCCTAAAAGTGAAATAAAGTGCTGAATGTTGGATAATCTTGATGAATATGCTTGCTTCCTATATGACATCCCACATTCCTTCTTTCCATATTTTCTTTGTATAAAAATGTTGTACGGCGCATCTCGGTGTGCCTATAATGTTCCAAGTCTGTGTTTTAAATCAAACAAATGATTCAGCGAAGAGACTCTTTTCAACGAATTTATCATCAAGCTGTACAATCGTAATATATATGGTTTTTTTAAGAAGTTATATCCGGTGATCTCTGTGTACAGAAAAAGTTCATTCAACCCCTCCAACTTTCATGGTCTTAATCTCTCTATGCTAAAGTATGGTAATCCCCAATCATATTTTAGCTCTACCAATTTTTCATTTTTGTCTATTCAATTTGTATACTCTTCCTTATTAAGTCAATTGTTACTATTACTACTCTCACTTTTAATTGTCCCCGGTATTATTTCACTTGTTCCACCTGTCATTCTAAATCAATTCCCTTTTTACAAAATTAAATTCTATGCTATTAAATTTCACACAATATTACGTAACGTTTTTATTTTATTTTATAATTGCACACCTTTCTCAAGTTCTATCCATCCTATGAATTATTCTATATATGACATTAATTTGCTTTGCCACTTGACATTTAACTTTGATTATAATCACAGACATTTTAGTTTCAATTGCATTTCATATTATTATTATTATTTTATGCATTCACACCTATGTTTCAATTCCCTCACCGGATATAACTTCTTAAAAACCATATATATTACGATTGTACAGCTTGATGATAAATTCGTTGAAAAGAGTCTCTTCGCTGAATCACCACTTGTTTTGATTTTCTGTATGTTACAATGGGAATTTTCCATGATTTAAATAAATTTATCACGTAATAAAACAAAGCAATTGCGCGGTAAACACTTTTATTTCAGACGGTCAATATATAAATTACATTCTACATGCCTACTGGATACACTAATTTCAATTAGCAAAACTTTCACGATGAATCAATGCGTAGTCGGTTCACTGTGATAGAACACTGGCCAGGCGGTCTGAAATTTTATTCGCAGCCGACTCACTCTTAAACCTTGCCAAAAGTCTGGTAAAGAGAGGAAAATTTCTAGGCTTGAGGATGACAACTCCATCGTGTGTAAATGAAACACCACTTCTACTGAAAATTCAATGCTCAAAGCAGCTTGAAGCTTTAAGTTCCATTTGGAACCCAAAGAAATGAAAGAAAGTTTTCATGATGAATTTTCTGAGGACAATTTCAAACTACTGTAGGCTAGCTGAAAATCTCTCGGTCAGCCAATACACTTGAAGAAGCTGAATGAGTTCAATATTAGTTTGTTTATTAGATGTATCACACAGTTTCGAACAAAATTTATTGTTCATAATCATTTAATCAATTATAATTACATGACTTCGAAACTTGAGTTCTATAGTTTTCTTTGTCTTCTCCTATTTGTCGTCGTTGGGGTAGTAGAACTTTCGAGATATCTGGGTGGACAGGTGTTGAATCATTCCTATTTCACGTATTTGCAGTTGGTTCGATAAACAAAGCTTCTGTTATCAATCTCTCCCTCCACCCTGTTAGTTGCATTAGATTTTAAAACTGTCATCTTATCCCATCCATCCTATTGTATGGTTGTGTGTAATTGCATGTAGTGCTATAGCTGAACTATTCTCTAGATTTCTTATCTTATTCGGGTCAACCAATCTAGATTTTGTAAGGTTTTTATGTTCTGCTAGCCTGACTGCCTCTGTTCTACTGCTTTGACCTATGTATTTGACCTGACAATCATTCCAGCAGGGTATTAGGTAATCTGAATTGTTTTGTTTTAAAGGCTCCACAGGATTGTTCCTTTAACCGACAAAGCTTGATAACAGAAGCTTTGTTTATCGAACCAACTGCAAATACATGTAATAGGAATTATTCAACACGTGTCCACACAGATATCTGGAAAATTCTACTACCCCAACGACGACAAATAGGAGAGAACAAGGGAAACCATAGAACTCAAGTTTAGAAGTCATGTAATTATAATTGATTAAATGATTATGAACAATAAATTTTGTTCGAAAGTGTGTCATCCAGTAAATAATACTGTTTCACTGACTGTGTGATACATCTAACAAATAAACTAGTATGGAATTACCTACTACCATTGTGCCCAAGTGTTACACATATATGAATGGGTTGAAGGAAAATAGTTTTAATAAAAGATCAGTAAAAGTGAAACTGTGTTCTTAGAATAAACGTCCGAACCGTAATTTCGCTATGAAAAGTAAGTCGTACAACTATTTTACCGTTCATGAAGAAAGTTTCATTTGAAGTTGTCAGATATTGTATATATATATATATATATATATATGCATATATATATATATATATATATATATATATTACTTATCTACCTCTTTAAAACACAAAAATTAGTACAATATGAGTGCTGGAAGATGCGCTATTCTCTTTTATCATCTAATTCTTTTACCTTCTGAGGGGAACACACGGCTTCTTCAAGCATAAGCATTAAAGCTTCAGTAGCGGTGGCGGCCGTGATGTTGTCTTTTAACAGACGGTGGTCACAAACTTCGTCCTAATCCAGCCTTCTCCTTTTACCGAGGTTACTACTACCGGCTAAGCGAGGTTTAGGTGTACGTCGGTCGGGAATAGAACCCGAGAAAGTAGGTGTGGTTGAAGCATTTCGACACGCTGTACAGAGTAATTTTAAAAAATTAGTATTAGGAAAAGAATAACAATATAGTTGGGAAGCAACAGAATAAAAGCATATGAGCACATTTATGAAGAGTACTCAAGTGTTTATCTGTTCATATTACCACCTATAGAAAGAGAAGAAAACTGCGTTTAGGATTACCATTCATGACTCGTGTCTACGCCTTCCTAAGTCAATGTACGGAGATGATAACACTTACTTAAAGATAATCTCCACTCCGGACAGACATGATATTGGACCTTAGAATTACTTACACGGTAATACCACTTAATGAATGCAGTTTTATGAAGACGAAGATGATTGAAGGTGTAATCACAATATATCTGTAGATCAGAGAGGCCATATTTCACAGAAAGACCAAGACAAGATCAACTAAGTATTTTGAACCCGACAATTGACAGTCAAACTAACATGTGAGGGCGTAAAGATGTGGCTCAGGTCGGTGTATATGCCTCCCAGACTTCTGTCACGACTGGAAACGTCATTCGTGACACTACCAAAACTCACATAACAATCCAGATAGAACAACTTCTCATTACTTCTAACAGTTCGTCTGCAATAGTTCATAGATGTAGAAGCCTCTTTCAAACTTTTATAACGAATTATTATATATATATATATATATATATATATACATATATTACCGCCTTCGTTATGACAACAACACATTCAACACTAATTTAAATTATATAAAAGAAAAACTGAATAACAGTTTGCAAAATTTCGTGTACCTCGTGGAGAACGAACAGCTGTAGCAAATGATACTCCAGACATAAATTGTGCCATCTTTTGCCCAACTGAATCTATCTGTAGGGCAAGTTCACGTGTAGGAGCCATACAGAGACACTGGCAGTAAGGAACATCTGCGTTGACGCGTGATAGCATTGCAAGCAGAAATGTTGCTGTTTTCCCGGTTCCAGATTGAGATTGAGCTATCATATTCTGTGGGCTTGAAAAAAAGTTGGATAAATTAATTATCACTGAAAAAGTTTCTTTAAAGTGTGAAATAAAAATATAGAGGGTGCATAATTTACATGTATAACCTATGTTGTGTTGACTAATTGCACAAGCGCAGAAAAAAACAGATACGCTCACTCTGCATTATGTACAGTATAATGAAATTAGCACGTGTTTTAACTTAATACAAAGCTTACGTATCACACAGACTGAAAGGTGAATTTAAACTTATATATATATCTGCCAAGATGTTTGAAAGACTTCTAAGAGGACTTTACTAGTCAGTTTGGAGTAGTGAGTGTAGAGGAAAGCAGACGTAACAGTACGCCACTCACTAAACTCTTTTGAACTGTGTTGCCATCATCAAAACTTGTGAACTTATGCAGAAAGGTAAAAGTTACGCAATGATTAAAGAACCATTTGATGGCGATTTTTCATTGGCACACAGTGGGCACTAACAAAATCGCATTGTCTATGCGACGGTTAGGATACTGGATAGACGCCCAGATCAAAACAGGCAGTTATCGTAAGGGACCATCACACCGAGTCTTTGACTTCAAGTCTGATCCACAAGGCACTGGAGCAATGTCAGGAGCTGCGTTCCCATCGTCTCTTGTAAGTAGAATGGGTTCAGACAAATGTTCGATCTGCTCGGATGGATTTTGGAGTTCGTGCACACAAGTTGTTCATTCGTGGTTTTCTAACTCCCCTAGATAGACTTACAGATTTACTAGTCTGGTTGTAAGCGCCAGATGTTCGCATTCACCGTTTAACTTTTGTAAGAACACTCGAATTAACGCATGGAGTCGTTGAATAGGATCTACCTGGCATAGGCTATAAACGTGTGGCCACATGAGAGCATTTCGAGAGGAATATTGAAGGTTACTGACCCTAAGTCTTATAATGTCATTAACGAATTTTTTTTCTTTATTGAGAATAACTACAAGGAAGTGAAGTGTATCTGTAGGAAATCTTGATTTACAAGCAAACAGGTCACGTTTATTACACACTTCTGTTTTTCTTTATCTTTTGCTTGGTTTGTAAAATGAAAACCTTAGGAAAACAAATTGCAGTCTTCCTCACATTCCCTACGTCATCAAAATATACTAGACCTATTTAAACTGAAGACACATTATCCATACTTTCATGCATAAGACTGCAAACTGAATCCCTTATCGATAGCTGAAATGAAATGATAGGTGTGCTTGCGTGTGTCAATGACCCAACTAGCTACACTGACCAAAACGAATGTCCCCATAAATAGCCCCAAACCACAAGTGTTAATTAGGTAGAAGTTAGACTAAAAAGAAGCTGTCATGACAGCGTGAATTGCTCACACTGAGGGCGAAGTCGTACGGGTGGCCGGTAAGGATGTAACAGCTGCTGCTGCTGCTGGATTCAACATAGAACTTGGCACCGAAGTGCACCAGTTCGAGTTGCCACGTTCCAAATACCACACAAAGGTAGACAAGAAAATGAGTGAAGAGAATCAATAGAGTTTTGACAAGTATAAGAGTGAAACATACTGAGTAATGGTAGAAAGGAATATGAAAGATTACAGAGACTGAATACATCTGCGCCATTGACAACGATTTTGAGCCATTTCACCTATTGTCTCCAGCCATTGATTCTTAGAGTCCTGAGGGCCCCAACCCGGAAGTCTGCATCTCCCTACCTGACTCAGTTTAACTGTTAAGGATTTCATGGATTGATGAGGCCATGTTTTTGTTTGGCCACCGCTTACTCTTTTCCAACCTGCACCTATATCAGCTAGAAATGCCCTCAGGAGGGGGAGGCGATGGCTAGGCATGCGCAGCACGTGACCTAGCCATCTCAATCTATGTAACTTTAAATTCTGTTCGATTGATTTTCCCTCTTTGCCCAACACTACCGTTGGTGCTGATACAACTTCCCAAATAGGTGAAGTGGTCAGCATGTTCTATCACTTCACTCCTTATCACTAAGCTAGGAGTTGACGTAGTCCAGTCCTGTAGCAGCATCTTACATTTTACAGGGGCGAATCGCATGCCAAACATACGAAGATTGCTGCTCAAGGTGTTCAGAAGACTCTGCATTTTGTGAGCATCCTCCCCTAACAGGACTATGTCATCTGTATATTCTAAGTCCATAAGACTATTCCCTGGTAACAAGTCGATTCCTAAGTCGTTAAGTTCAGTTAAGGATACTTCCATTAGTATATCTATGATGAAGTTAAAGAGAAAAGGGGAAAGTGGACATCCTTGACGGACACCACTGGTTGTTATCAACTCAGATGACAATTCCCCATAAGCCCTTACACGGCTACGTGAGTTTGAGTAGAGTGCCTTGATTAGTGCAATGTACTTTCTTGGCACTCCCTTCACAGTCAAACATTGCCGTAGTATACATTTATAAAATTATATTTGTAAAATCTCAGCGAAATCGAAATGATTAATTCCAACGTTTCGTTCGGCAGTCTGGTCCGAACTTCTTCAGGGAAATTAATCGAATTAAAATAAACAGAGGTTTATCAACTATCCGGTCAAATCTTGATCACAGTTCATATGAATTGCCACGGAGTCGAAGGCCGCTTTCAAGTCAGCAGTTAGTTGGTTCCCCCGGACGATCGAAAAACCAGAATCGCTGCCTCTTTGTTGTAGGAAAGAGGTGGCTCAGAGGTCCACTGAGAAAACTGTACATGCCCAGTTACCTTGTAGCGAGTGGTAAGATCTGCACACTGGCGCAACTCCGAGAACTACTTCAAGCAAGTCCCTGGGATACATGGTCACGCAACTATTCCTTCGATTCCAGGTATTTCAAGTAGAAACCAATTTCTGCAGTGCAAGTGGCCAACCATACAGCTCTGCTTTCTGTTAGCAAAGTGAGTTGAGAACTGGTCAGTTTACTGAGCAAGCTCTCACAGCAAGTGACTAAAACTTGCATAAATTCTTCAGTGACGTACTTTAAATTCACTGGTACATTGCTAATTATTGGAATGAAAAAACGAAAAACCCAAAGATAATCGGCTGTTGCACTTGACAAAGGAACTTGAATTTATGAACTGGTTCCTTAACTTTCACAGAATGAGATATCATCTTGTGAGGTTGTTAACAACGTCTAATGAATATAATTGTGAAAACACGTCATGGTAAACAAAAATAGACACATGCATGATAAAACTGATGTGACTAACTGTTGTGAACGTAGAACTTTGCAAAACAAACAGCGGTAGTTTAGGGTCCACACAAAGGTAGACGAAAATCTAAAGGGACAGTCATGGTGGCAATGTACAGGAGAAAGAATAAGCGCATGGAGTATAGTAAGAATTCAATGCATTTAGAAGTTCATAAAGAGTGAATGCACCTAAGCCATTGAGAACTACTTTAGGTTGTGTTGGCAACAGTCACCAACCATTGTTACTTAGCATACCAGGGTGCGCCAAGCCAGCCGATTCACACCTGCTTATTTGGATCAAATCAACAGTCATAGACTTCATCGACTGATGCCACTTTTTCATTTGACCACTCCTAACTCTTCCCTAACTTATTCGTCTTAGCTAACTGTTCGATGAAGTAGACAACTGCTAGGTGTACCATCTCAATCGATGCAGCTTGACAACTTTACTGTTCTAATTTCTTTTCTTCCCTAACATTGTGTCTGACCCAAATATTATTCACCAAATTATACCACTAAACGCGGAAGCTAAGACGCAGGAACCAATCGCCAAAGACAGCTCGCCTTCTCTTAACTTCCACTTTTAACGGCTAAGTCTCACATCCACAAAAACAATGGAGAGAAGTACTGAGTAGTACACACATCCTTTGATTGACAGCTGAATATTAGGTCCACTCCTGAGATGATGTAATCCGATACACTGATGTATAACTGATATTCAGAGCACTTAGATTGCCACTACTGAAACAGTTTAGTTCGAAGTTCTGTGAGAGGCACATTAATATGACGTTGTATATTTATTGTGTGTTAGTGCTTCATGTGAAGAATTTAAAAAAGCAGAAAGACAAAGCGCAACGTGAGAATAAAGTGGTTACGAGTGCGTATGCTAAGGATCAAATCTTCATAAATCGGGGACTACTGTATTATGAACATAAAATTAGAAATCCAGACACGGTGTGATCTAATCGGGTTAAAACATATTGTATCTAACATACTGTGTACGTAAGTAGCTCGTCAGTTGAATGCTCGCCAAAAACGCAAGTGGTGGGGGGTTTGATCTCCGCCGATACACAAACCTCGCCTAACTGGTACTAAGTCCGGTAAAGAGGGGAGGTTGGACGATCACTAGCAAACCCACCCCATAAGAAAAGAAATAACACCACAAGTGCTACAACATTAAAACTCAAACAAGAAGCCCGATGTTCCATTGGGAACTCAAAGGAACAAAATAATCAATAAAATGTCTGGCATACTTACTTGTCAGATATTAAACTACCCAGAGCTCTTTCTTGGATAGTGGATGGCCTGTAAAAGCCCAGTTGTGAGATACCCTTGAGGAGTGGATCTTTCCTGTTGTAGTAAGATATAATGTTAACAGGAAATACCTACAAGTTCAACTCTTGGAATGTGCGAGCTGAGTGTAAGGGATGATTTGGATCAGATCGTAGCAGTTCAAAATCTGCTTCACGTGTCTCAAATAAGTTAGAGTTCAGAAGCTTATTGATGTACGATATCTCTGCCCTGGTGAAGGCTGGAGAATATGAAGAACCTATGGCACTTACGCTTTTCATCAGATTCCTCCAATTCAGATTTTGGATCTAACCCACTTTTGATTTTCACAACACTTTCGTGCAGAGCTAACCACTCACCAACATCTGCACGCGACATCTTGATGTGTTGAGCAACCGAAACTGAAAATGCCGCTTTTGTTTTAGTCCCGTAATTAATATCCATAAAATTATTTAACGGCTTATACGAGCCTTGTGAGCAAAGTGAAAGAATGCCGGCTAAGTCTGAGTTAAAGCACCACTAACTACGAATGGGGTGCGACGCACCAGTGACCTTAAAAAGCTCTCTGAGCAAGTTAGTGAAACCTGGCAAATAATGTCGTCATTATCAATAAAATATGCTCATCGAAGTGTTATTTTATTTACTGGGATATTTGGCAAGTTTCAATTTAGGTTTGGGAAAGATTAAGTTACTCTTTAAGCCAAGAACTAGTTAGGGTGGGAGCGAACCAACCCAGCAAGAACCAAGTGTGCAACAGATAAACAGGAAGAACTGGGGGTGGATTGGCTGTACTCTGAGAAAACTATCAAGTGACATCCATCGCACGTCAGGCCATTGCTCGAGTAGACCCGAGTATGAAGCGGCGAGTTGGTCGTCAGTGTGAGGATGACATGGAGGAGGACGTGTGAAGTGGAGATGGTATTATGTGGGTAGACGTGGAGCCAGGTAAAAATGCTGGCAGAGAACCGAACACGTTGCAGACGTGCAGCTGAAGCCCTATGTTCCTCTAAGAATCAAAGGAAACAATAATATGATAATAATGGAACAAACTATCTACGAAAACGCGGCTGGCAAGCACATTAGCTTCCTTTGAAAAGGTACTTAATAACACACTAAGAGAGTTTGCAAGCGATACTAGTTCCAATTCCCAAGTAAAAGATTCAGAAATCATTTAATGTATGAACCATTATAATCCATTTATAATTTCAGATAAAGAAGCAGCAGTTAAGACAAAACCCCTCAAACAAATAAGAGTCGTTCGTACTGATACAAGTAATGGAACAAAATTGACAGACGAATGAAATGAAAAACAAGGTCAAAACTTACTGCAATATCACATGAGAATATAAGACTTTTTTGGAGAATATTTATACTCTGCCAACTGGTCTACTTACCGAAAAGGATACGGTCATATTTTATCCATAGTGGCGAGTAATTACATAAACCCACCACTCCCGTTAGTACAGCTCAAATTCTTTAACCTTCTCAATATCGAGTATACACTCAATGGTGGTAGAAGTCCACAAAATAATGAATCTATAGAACACATACACTTCCCATGATAATAATGATATATTTAATATTCTGGATTTAGGTGTCATAGTTAGTCACGACTTAAAAAGTACAGCGCACTGTCGCGCGGTGGCTGCACGTAGTTTCAGGTCCTTATGGGCGATTCGCAGAGCCTTTACTATAATCACCAGAGCTATGTTCACCTCCTTATATACATCTTTGGTGACGTCGTGACTAGAAAACTGTATCCAGGCAGCCAGTCCTTTTTCTTAAATGGGACTCACACATTATAGAAAGGGTTCAAAGGAAGGCAACACGTATGGTTCTTCTCTTTGTCATACCGTAGGTAGAGAGGAAATTTAATCACAACGTTTAAAATTTTAAATAAAGACTACGGGCCTGAGCTATTCTCTCTTTTGCTTCCTAGCAGGTTGGAAAACCTTAGAGAACATAACAAGAGAGTTCAAAAGCCAAGAAGAAATCATATTGCTGTTGAGTACTTTATCTCACACCGAGTCATAAACTCTTGGAACCGACTCCCAGAAGAAGTGGTGTGTGCAACCTCAACTGATTCATTCAAGAAGGGTTTGAACAATCACATAAATTTACCAGAAAAGTATTAACATAGGCTCCAAGCCTTCTATCCTCAACCAATAAATCTGAATGTGAATCTTATGTACATGAGAGACGCCAGTTTACAGACATCATCGATATACTAAGTAATATACAACGGGGTAAGTATATCTACAATTTTTCACTGACTCAGGATGCATATGCAAGGAAAGTTAATGGAGTGATGTTAGGAAGCACACTTTGCATAGGTAAAAACAATTTGCATGATATAATCCTAGGCACCATTATTGTTTGAATTTGTCGAGAACGTCCGCAACAACTGAGTGTTGCGTTACATGTTGTCGATATGGTGAAAGACGCTATAGTCAGTTTCAAGGTCATGATGGGTTCCTGCGTCTACTGATTATATGTTTTCGTGAATTCGTTTTCCATTGAATTTTAAAGGTTTTTTGAACGTTTTGCTTGTCTTGGAGTATGTAGGTCAGTTTTTTGTCACTGGATGCTAATAGTAAGGTTGTTTTTAGGCAGAAGTTCCCACTTATTATGTTGGTAGTTAAGGATTATGGTAAACCTGCAATCATTGAGCTAATTCACGTACACTATGATAGTATAGTAACACTATTTAATAAATGAACTCCCTAACTGGTTTGCCATTGTTTGATTATGTGATTGAACCGGAACTGTGGGATTGTTTTATCCGCATGACCGGCTGTAATTCATCACCTTGTTCTTCTTAATAAGCATTATCGAAGAATAGGTTAGAATAAGTTTAGAATTGTTGTAAGCCTGGGGTGATTACGGTATGGGCAATAAATCGTATTAGTCGCCGTTACTCGGGATATGCTATGAACTAGAAATCTTCGGCTGATAAAACGCATTACATAAGGCACAGATCGGTGTAATTTGTAACTGACTTGCAAAGCGCTCTCATCAGGAAACAATCAACCAAATTATGCTTTAAACTGTCGCTCTCAGGCATTTGAAGGGAAAGGAAGTGTAACACAGTTTAGACATACATGTTTATATTGTGAATACAAATGGAAACAATAAGGTAATGCAAAATATTTTCACAAAAATGAACGATTAACAGGGGCACGTCGTAATCTCAAAGTTGTTTGCGGTTCATTTGCTAGCAAAGTGTCCAACCTTCTTGTGAACTCTGCTACTTCCCGCAGTGCAGCATCCGGATTTCTTTGGCTCAGAATGTTGAGACGACGTCTTAAACGTTCATAAGCATTTCTGAACGCGTTGTTCGGTTCCGGTGTTAGGCGGATGGCGCGTGGAATGTCTTCCGTGGTGTTATACTGACGTGTCCACCTGTCACTATTTCTCAGAATATCTAAGAGTAACAATTAAGGAAATGGAACTTACCACAGGTTAGATATGAATTTAAGAAAGCCTCAACGACATGAGCACATGGTCTACACCAGACAAAATCCATGACACTATGATTTGCGGTATTCTTAGTATCATTTTGCCAATTATAAAGAATTCATTACTTCATAGTTATTGTCAAATCATAAACGGTTTTTAAATGCTCTCATCTAGCTATAATAAATAGGAAATTCGATAGTGTGAAGGTCAATTCCAGAAAACACGTCTACTGCTAACGTAGGCATTGCGAATTCAAATTGCGAATATTTCAAAGGGGCCTATCACTGTCTGCATCCACATTCACATAAATTTTATCGTGTTCACAATGTTAGTTATTTTCACCGGCATTATCAATTGCTTGCGTCGGTGGCATAGCGGTTAGGACGCTCGCCGACCATGCACATGGTCCGGGATTCGACCCCCGGCCGACGCACTCCTTTACCTCACGAAGCCAGAAATAAAATCTGGTAGAGAGTAAAGGTTGGGCATGAGGCTAGCAACCCCATTCTGTAGAAATAAACACTGCTACCGAAATATCAAGCCTCTAGCTTGAAGCCCGATATTCCACTGGGAATGTGAAGGCATTAAAAAAAATTATCCACTCTCTTTGTTGATTGGCTCCCTAACTCCTCACAAGCCTCCATATTCTCTCCAAATGATTTCCCTATCACCCTCGAACTGCACCAAGCAGTCAATTTTCCATTTTGTTCCACTTAAGAGCCAATCTGGTATGTTGTGTTACTTTAAAATCTGGTCAGCTTTAGTTCAGTCCTTCCACATTGGACTATAACAGAATTTTGTCACTTCTTATTTCACACACGCAAATGTCTACGTTGAATTGTACACATTTCTACATTTCTTGAATATTTTGAAACATTGAGGAGAAATTCGCGTTTGTTTGTGGTGATATTGAGCTTGGCATTTTGTGACACTTTCTTCCAATGTTCAGCACTCACAATATTCCAAATAGCGATCACTGCATTAATAATTGAGTCTCAACAGCATGGCAACTAATGACAATCCTACTAATCATTTTGATCTTTTATATTCAGTGCCTCAGTAAACTACCAGATTAGTGGGATCAATCAACTTCAGATTGTCTATGGATTTCCAAAGAAAAGTGTTGTCTAACTGAGATAGAATGAGTACTTGTGAAATTCGGTATCTGACAACTGTCAAACTGAAGAGTAACCACTATTACTAAGTTGGGTGGTTAAAATCGTATTTTATGCAGGATTCATGATTGTTTCATGTTTTCGTCTACTCAAGAGGAAGGACTTGCAAAGGGAAACTAGAAGATATACACTGTTCTTCTGGTGTCAGCTATCGTTTGAGCATATTTCATAACATATTATGGCTTACCATTCCATTTGACGATGTACAATTGACGAATATGAAGTGATATTGTGTCAATTAACTACTCGGACAAACTGTGCAATAAATCAATATAAAGTCGTCAACTAATGCCATGTAATTAAGCTTCCCGATTTCAAACTCAGTGGAAAAACGTCCTGAATACCTGAGTATTTTCTATCATAAATTTGATTTCATATTCCTGATGTCATGGGCATAATTTAGTTTCCTAATGCATTTAGCCTCCACTCTCCCCTCACTTTGTTAATATTAAGACAGCAAACAAGATTTCAGTTATGGTCGATGAGATGAACATTGTATTGCTTCTCCTTTTCACTTCTCACTCCAGTTAACTGTTCAGCGAGTAGTAAGAAACACCTGAGTCAAGTTAATCGTTACAAAGGAATCAAACCACGCATCTCTATACCATTGAAACCTACTGGATATAAGAGTTCGAGACTTGTGCACAGGTAATTCGAGTTTTGTTGCTTTTCATGAGTATGCACAGTTTTTGATTCGTTTTCGTTCTGACTGGAACATTAGTTTAGAAGCTTGAGGATTGCATTTTCAGTGGCAGTGGTTGTTTTACAGAGTGTGGTTGGTAGAGTAACGTGCAACCTCCCCTATTCACTGGGGCTTACTGCCGGCTAAACGAGGTGTAGATAACAAATGTGAGAAGCCTATTACTCAAATCAATCCGAACTCA